TTGGACAAGTTCTATTCTGGTCCCATAATGGAAAGCCCACTCCGAAGTGAAATGGTAGTTGAGGACTGTTACTATGCTGGTTTGTACTCTGATCATGAATGGTACAGAGTCATGATACAAAGGAAGATAGACCTGGATAAATTCTCTGTCTTCTTTGTTGATTTTGGGAACTATGACTTCCTCACGCTTGATAGGTTGCGTCCCCTGGCTGAGGAATTCAGGAAGCTTCCATGTCAAGCCATGAAGGCAACTCTGTCTGGTGTGAAGCCAATTCAAGGTGATTGGACTCCTGATATCAGCATAGAGTTCAAACAATTGGTTGAAGGAAAGGCTTTTGTATCATTAGTAAATGATATTGAGCATGATATTGATCATTCCAGTCGCCTTGTACTTTCCCTGATTGATACGAGCACTGATGTGGATATGTATATCCACCAAGAATTGATCAAGATGGGATTGGCTACTCCTTGTGAGGTAGATGCTTGATAGTGTCTTTGCATTTCCAGTTCCCTTATCAAGCATACAGGAGAAATGCAAGACGACTTCTCTTTTCAGGGAAATGCAATAATAAATTAAATTAGGCTCATTTGAGAATATATCTCTGTGCTGAGAGACCTTTCCTGCAAAGAGCACTTCATGGCTGTGTTAATTTATGGGACATATATGCTAATGAAACCATTGCCATGGTTTCTGCCTGCATGACTTTGCCTATAATCAAACTATGTTTTGTAAGGAAAAATTGTTTTCACAAATGTCTTGACTGGCCCTCATGATTGAAACACAACATACCAGGTCCTACAGCATAGTGAACCAGAAGAGGCTCTTTCCATGCATGATGCCATGCAAGCTCTTGTATCTGGTCTCCTTCACTTTGTCTCTGTGAACATTTATTTATGGTCCTTGTTTTCAGTCATTTAGATCTAGAAGATCTGGAGTTTCTAGAATTCTAGAGTAATGTTAAGATCTCAGGCTTTATTTTGACCACAATTTCAGGAAAAGTGACCATGGCACCAAGTATTGTCTATATAGTCAGTGGTGTAGTTTTTTGCCCTGAATAACCTTAATTTCTTTATTTTCTGATGTAGCTAATCACTTTAACCCTGGAATACACAGGGTTCTCTCATGGAAGGGAATGGAGGAAACTGGGACTTGTGTGTGTGTCAAAATTACTAACACGGAAGCAAGTGCAGATCCAAAAGCTCCTAACTTTTAAATCCTTAAGAAAGTAATGGTAGTGGATGGATTTTTGGCCAGTATTTGAAATGTCTATTGGGTTTTTGAGAATTGAAATAACCCAATACAGTGAACTTTCCATTTTAAAAGTAGCATGTTCTCTACTGTTCTAGGTTTTATATGAGGAACAAATAATTTTTGCCAAAAATTTATCTTAGAAAAGATATTGTGAAAGTTATATATTTTGGTTTTTTGTAGAATCTCCCAACTGTCATGTTGGTAACATTGTTTAAATTTTAATATATTTCCCGGTTAATGAAATTTTTTCTTCACATTTGGGGTTATAAGTTGTTGCAGTAATATCTATCATTTGTAAAATTTGTTTGCTCAGTAAACTGCTTTAAATTAGCTTCTGTTTTAGTTTCACACACCTTTAGTTACAAATTCTTTCCTAAAAAAATGTGATATTTTTGTAAATATAAAGATGTAGCTTTTTGAAAATTTCATTTTTCAAAAAGAGGGAAAAAATAGTATGGTGTTTGGTGTGGTATTTTTTTTTACAATGGTGGTATTTGTCTTCTTCTGGTTCTCTTCTTAAACATATACCAGATGCATTTTCTATGATTTTCTGGACTTTTGACAAGCATCTCAAGTGTAGCATGGAAATTAATCCATAGTGTGTTGATTAGTTTGGAAATATCTTTCAATGCAAATGCTTAGAAACTATAAATAGTACATGATTTCTCTGATTTACTGGTTGTGTGCCAAAGTTCACAGTGTTATAATTATATTGGAGCAGAATTTGTACTTTTTAATTGTTCACCCCATAACCTGAATCTTAACTCTAACTGGAACATCTTTGCGGCCTTAAACTGATACATTTGCCAAATACAGCAATTTAATAAAGGCTCTTTGAGTTATCTCAGTTGCCACTTTCACATACAATTTTAATTAGGAAGTGATGCATAATTTTGTATTTCAGACATTATGCAAGGCAATGTTATAGTAGCTTATGAGGCTTCAGATGGCTGTTTCAGTGAGAAAGTGAATTTATGTTGAGGAAACTTCCTGGTTAGTAGTATGAAGAAGCCCTGGGATGTAGGGGGTGCCACCAGTAAATAAAATAATTTGGGTGGATAGCCTCAACAATTGCAAAGATGGTGAGGCCCTCCATTGATTGCTGCTAGAGGAACCTTAATGTGGCCTTCCTGGCTTCTGAGCATTGGTTGTACTACCTGTTCTGGATTTTCTGTGTTACCTTTTTTAGTGCATTTTCTGAGCATGGCCCTTGCCTCAAGTAGCATTACTCATGGATCTAATCTATTTTCATGGAAACGTTTTACTAGTGGTGCTTCTTTAGCCACATCTATGGCCTATGTTTCCCAGAGTCCCTTGGTGCTATCCAGCATGCATCATTATCATATATTCACTTTTTTCTCTCTGGTACAACTAATGGGTGCCCAAGCTACTTTAAATCAACTCTGTACATGAAATACCCCCATGTGCCATGCACTGGTTTCTCTTTCATGCATCAACAATTTGTAGTTGCCATCAGTAGCAGAATAATATGCCAGCATTCCTACCCCCATCGAGCAATGAGCCTGAAAAACCATTGCAGTACTCATGGCTAATCTGGCAGTGCCTCAGTGGTGTCACTATGAATCTGACTTCAGCAGAAAAAGAATACAAGTCCAGTGCACATGCTTTGGATTTATTTACAACGATAGAAAATATTTGGCTATTACACATAAGACCAGACTCTTCCATAGTTTGTAAGGTATATTCATGACTGGGGCGAGGTGAGACTTGAAAAAACAATGAGAAATAAATGTCCTCAGCTGTATGGGCTATCAGTGCATTAAAATTTTCTCAAAAATGGAAAGGCCTGCCAAAAACTCAGGTGTGTGATATTGTTCCCTCACTTGTTGCAATGAGTGCAAAAGGACAGTCCTTCCTTAACTTTTGCTTTCATGCTATGGTGCCCAGGTGATATGTTCCCTGGGAGAAGGGAAGGAACTGCCAAAATTATATTCACAGTGGAACCTGTTTTGTAGTGTTTCAGTCTTGGGCCTTCATGTGAGTCAATGTTCCAACACAGAGTTACCACCTGTGGTGATGGTGCAATGTGAGCAAGTCTTGATTCCTATCTGTGCTAATTTGCATGCTCATTTTGCCCAATTCAGTTTTTCAGTGGGATTGTTTATTTGAAGCAGTATATCTCTTTGTGATAAGAATTGTATTTTCCAGAATTCTATGTCTTCCAATATTTTGCTGTCTTATAAATGGCATAGTTGAATATACACATATGATAAACTTGATCCAATTTTTTTCATCAAAATGGTTCCTCTAGATTCAATCAGTCCATGACTGATTGAATCGGTATGGTAATAAGTGCAATTTGTAAACTTGATATTGCGAATATGTGGTAGATTTGAGTTTTTAACCCTTTCACTGTGACTGACATGTATACTCATTGCATTATCCAGCATAGCTGCAAGAACTTCACAGGGATAGGATAAAGGATTCCAGAAATTCTGGAACTCTTTGTGTCTGATACCTGGTCTCCCACAATGGGGGATGGCATGAATATTGTGCCAAGCAGGTGAAATTTGAGGTTAGCCAAGATCCTGAACTGGCTGAATTCTTGCTTTTAAAGGTAAATTTTGCTGATGCACTTGAGAGCAGTTTATTTGTTGGTAATGATGCATTTTAGAAGTACTAGTGCTTGGTTTACAAGATTTGAAAGAGTTGGTTTTGTTTTTTATTAATTCTGCCTCATGAGGTTTGGGAAATTTTGAAGGAAAACAATTACTCAACAAGATTTCATATGTTAACATAATATTGAATTGTCTGCCGAGATTCAATCAGTTGATTTCTTGTTGATCTCAACCTCTAGAAGAGCCTTAGTTGTCTGCTTTTAGCATTGGCTGAGAGAAAAACCTCTTTGATATCACACAGTCTTTGCCATCTAAATTGTTTTCCTCTTGAGGCTCAGTGTCTTCCCTCTTTTAGCACTCCTTTCCCTCACCCTTGCAGATGGTGAATTCAAGAGAATTCAGAAAATGTCTAACTTTGAAACCTGAAAAAATTTGAAACTGCTATGAAGCACTAGTGATGGTCTACCATGGCCTTAGGTACATGCCTCAAATTTAATAAAACCCACATTCAGAGAAGACATTTTGGTGTTCTGTTAAGGTCAGATAAGAATATTGCAATGTAGTGGTTGATAAGCAGGGTGGAAAGTTTTATGCAACTGTAACTGATGTCTAGATACTTCATTTCTTTATCTGTATCCAAACCTGTATGGTTTATCCTGCATATATCCTCACTTGCATACTAACTTGTTGAATACTTCATATGCTGGTAGTAGGGTTTTGGAATTCGAAAAATCAGGGGAAATGGTTCTATTTCAATTCTAGTTTGGGGGAAGGTGGGAGGGGGTTGTGAAATCATTCTAATCTCAGTGTCATTTCATGCTTGCCCCTTCCATGCTTAATTCCAATCCCATTAAAAAAGTTCTAGATATTTGATTGAGCTGTTTTACCCCTGTAACCACTATAAAAGTTATATAACATGAGGGAACTTGGGCATAATGAAACCCAACTTCACATTGAATTATATAGTAGCTGCAGTTGCATGCTTCCTTTATAATTGATGCATAATTTCTTTCCTTCTCTGTAACTCTTCACCATTAAGTTTTTTGGAATCTGAATTCAGATGACTATTGAGACAAATAAAATTGCTCAAAGAAATTAGATTCTGAGTTATTCCAATTCCAAAACAAAGACCTGTAGTGAAGTGATGCTGTAGTACCAGTCCTCTTTCTTTTCCAAGGTGAACTGGACAATAGTGGGCTGCCAGAGGGATGGCTGCTATGTGACTGTAGATGCAAAAATTATAAAGAGGTATGTACCTTTAGTCACGTATGTTCTCCACAGTTCTTCTATCATGAACTTCCATTATGATAGTAGTCAAAATGCTCAAATTCTGTAATTTAAAAAAGATGACAGTCAGAGTTCCATTATTGATATGGTGGGTACTGTTAACTTAATGTAATAGGCCAATATACTTTGGTAATGGACAGCATGTACTTTTATTACTGTCTAAGAAATATTTGTTGCATTTCTGAAATGATCACCAGCCTGGTTTGGGTGAATTCCACTTTTCCTATATACCTGTTCATCTTTTAAATAACCTGCTCTGCATGCCTTTGGCTTCTTTTTGGGCATGTTTTGCAATATGTTTCTTTGCTTTTATTGTTGTATTTTAGTAAAATCTTATTAAAGTACATTGATTGGTCTTTGCATTACACAGAGGGGTAGATCCTGTGGATCTTTAAGATTATTGCTGAAGAGAGACCAATAAGAAATTTTGTGAATGAGGATTACTATTGATAGAGATGAGGGCCTTAGCCCAATCAACATTTTATGGTGCCATTTACAAAGGGAACAGCTATCTTCTTTCTTCTCAATTTCATCTAGAGTATGGAACTGGATGTAGGTCCTTAGCACTTTTGGAGTAAAGAAATTATTCTTTTATTGAGCTTACTGCTCAAATTCAGTCACACCCATTTCTAATTTTTTCAGGATATCTTTCAATATGAGACAAGAGGGAAAACATAGTTCAATACTATGTTTGACTTTTGTCTGATAACTGCTTGAATTTCCTAAGTTTTGTGATGAAACATAAGAGAACGTCAATTCATAAAAGTCTATCGGTTTCTTCCAAATGTCTTTGTTCCATGAAACAACTCTTGGTTGCAATACATTTTGAATAATTTTCGTATGCAGGACAAACTTATTAGAAATGCATGGAACCAAGTGCCACCACCACTTTGTGTGAATTAGCAGTTACTGTTAATTTGAATTCATCCCTGTATATTTAATATGAATGGAAAATTTCACTAATTTTTAACTTATATTTGAAAGCTTCAATTTTTTTGCTTTATGTTATGTTGCTTAATAACCTTGTTGTTGACATTGTTTCTGGTCCCAGACAGATTTGGGAAATTAGAAATGCCTGTCCCACAAAATAATGTTGAAGTCAAGATCTATAATCTGGAATATGATGAACTTTTTTGCAAGGAGCAGCGTCTTCGTGATGGCAGTGTATTCATGCTTGTAATGTTTCTTGGTGACAAAAAAACTGTGCATAATGCAATTCACTCATCCAACAAAGAGCATTCCTATCCTCAGGAGGAAGGACATTCCTTAAAAGAATGCGAGCTCTTAGGTCAATCTCTATACAATCATGGAACCATTTCCATGGGGCCAGTTGAACCAGCTATAGAAGGGTGGCACAATTTATCAAAATCTTGTTCTGAGTTACCAAAAAATGGCAGTGATGAAGATGGTGATTCACTAGAAATACCAGATTTACCAGATGCACTAGATGGTGAAGGAAGCCAGTCCTTCGCAGGGAAGGAAGTTCCAGCAGAACCAGAGCAACCTATCAGTGATGATGGAAATTTGTTGACTCCAGGAATGAATCTCTCAGACATAACCAATGTGCATCTTATGCATGTATCCAACATTGGTTGTGTGTATGTATCCCAAGAATGGGCTCAAGCTCAATGTTGCCTTTTGTCAGGGGTCCCTCCTAGTGGATATCGATTCACTCCTCGTGCTGCTGAGCAAATCCGGATCCTATGTTCCACAGACATGCCATTGTTGCTGAAAGTGGTGCACATGGTGGATAGCATTTGCTCATCAGTACCAGCTATGCCTGGCATAGAACACTTGAAAAATGTCCCTGTTGTTGAGTTATTCAAGAGAAATAAGGAGACAAAAGAGTTGACTTCCATCAACACGTCAGTTGCCATGGACCTGAGCCTATTTGAGCAGGATGACATGATTGGAAGAACTCAGTCTGGAAGCATTTCACATTTGAAAGGTCCAGGAAGAGGTCGTGGTTCTATGGCTGCCCAGCTTCTCTCTCTAACGTCTGTTAAGCCAGGATCTACCTTCATTGCTACCAAGACCTCAGTCACCAGAAACCAGGCTAGTAATTTCAATGGGGGGAAATGTTCTTCAAACAACTTGAAGGAATCATCAGTTGAGGAATGTTGCAACCTTGATAAAGATGCCAAAGTGAACACTGAGGACTTACCAGGGTCTGATGTTCAGGTGATGAGAGAATGCAAAAGTGTTCCATCTTCAGAGTTGTTTTATTCTCCAGAGGCTTTGAAGCTGTTGCAGTCTGATGTTGGAATCTCTGTCATAAATGCCTCTCTTATCGCTCCTCCAGCCCTACCTGAAATTGGACAGTTTTTTGACGTACTTGTTGTGATGGCTGCTTCTCCTTCTGATTTTATGGTTCAGTCATGGAAAGATGGCTGCTATCTTCAGGTCCTGATGGCTGACATGAAAACCTTCTTCTCTGATTCTCCAGTTGTGCAGCCCTTCCTGAGTGAGATGGTTATTGAGGGGTCTGTGTATGCTGTTCAGCACTCTGACTCCCTTTGGTATAGAGTACGAGTGGAGGAGAAGATGAAAGATGGCAAAGTTACTGTTTTCTTCATTGATTATGGTAACTATGACCTCATACCTGCAAAGATGTTGAGACCTCTGCCAGCACAATTTTGTAAACTCCCCATTCAAATCATCAAGGCAACTCTGTCTGGAGTGAGACCAGTTCATGGTGATTGGACAACCAGTGCCACAACCCGCTTCAGGTATTTAGTGGAAGGAAAACCTTTTGTGTCCTTGGTGAAGAGTATCAAGCATGATGGCCATCTTGCCCTCACACTGATTGACACAAGCACAGAGTCAGATCTCGTTGTTCATGAGCAGCTCATTAAGGATGGATTGGCTTCCCCCTTGAAATAGAGTGCTGAACAAAATTTATTGGGTAGAACCAGAAGTATTGAGCTCTTTCATGTTTCTTTTGGGCCTCATTTGATTTTTTGCAAAAAATTTTCTGCTGTTGGTTCACGAAATCTTGATTTTTATGTTTATTTACTATAATGTGCTGCATGGATTAATTGTGCATCTCCTTGTATATTTCATACATGGGAGATTTTAGTATTTTGGGGGGGAGGGGGGAACTCCTTCATTCAACACTTGCACCTGAAGTCCAGTTAAGACAAGCCATCTGGTGCTGTGACAAAGGGGATATGGACATTTTCTTCCTTGTTTTTATTTTTTTCTTTGACACTTTATGCACCTCTTCATCTATGTTCTGTCATGGATTTTGCAGTTTTGTTTCTGGTCTTTCATGATTGCATCACCCCTGGCCTCCTGTATTTGGGGATGGCTGGTAAATTTGCCTTGAAATGGGTTAATGGTCTTATCACTTCTTGAAACTGACAAAAGGGCATAATTGATTGTTAACAAGATAGGATTCACTCTTCTATACTCGCTGTCTGCCTTTGAAACATAAGATATCGCATGTGAGTGCATGTTCTATAAACCATGATGACGCTTCTTTGTAAATGCTAACAAAGGTCTGATAGCTAAAGTCAGTGATATTGTCATCAGGTACAGGTACAGTCATGAAGAAAAAGGTGGTTTCCTCATTGTTTATGGAAAATTATTGTCAGAATTATGATTAACTAAAAGGAAGAGAAAAAAAAGTATCACCTGCCCCCAAAACAAGTGAGCATTTTCATCCAGTCATTTCATAGTTATGTTTGTGTGGGCATTTGAAAAGGAATCACCTAAGATGGTATCCTATAGGAGCAGTTCTGCTTACAAATATATAATATTCATCATGTTCTAGATGATTAGGTCAACCCTTGTCATAATTTATGTTCATAGATAGAGTTGAGGATTATTTTTCACATCTAGCTTTCATAAAAACAAAAAAAAAACCATTGCCAGAAAAAGATTAAAAGGGAAAACAATTTTATGTGTTTCATTTCACGCCTTAATGATGTGGGCAAGGTTAATATTTATTTTCTAATTTTGAGGGAAAAGTTCCTACTCTATATATTGAGCTTTAGCTGTTGGGTTGTAGAGGGGGGCCTCTCACCTTGTAACTTTTGGTTGCCAAGTAGGAATTGTTATTCAGGGATGGGTGATGCTGCTGCAGGGCAGGGCAAATCCACCAAAAGAGTGAAGCGGGTGAATCAGTGTCCCAATCCATTATTTGAGAAATGGCTCTTCGAGTGGAAGGCAGAGGCCGAAGCAAAGAATTCCAATCTTCAGTACACATTTGCGAAGGTGAATACTGTTTCACCCCCCCATGAAGATGTTGGCCTTGCAGAAGTGGATTTAATGAGTATTGTTTCTTGTTCATTACAGGCATTGCAGTCTCTTCGCAAATATCCCCTTGTACTGAAGTCTGGGCGGGAATGCAAAATCCTGGATAATTTTGGAGATAAACTGTGCTCCATGATTGATAACAAGCTGGCTAAACATATTCAGCAGCATGGTCTTATATCTTTCTCATACTCAAGGACTAGGAGGGTATCCCTGAAGTTTGTAACTATTAGTTCATTCAGTGAGGAGTGTGAATATGAATGAGAAGGAAAATGCAATCAAATCTATTCAAGCATGGATAACAAATTAATATTGCAATAATTCATGGTGGCCAATTTTTCACCTTGGCATAAATCTTGATGTTTGGTCCATCTTTCATGTGCCAACAAATGCCATTCTTGGGATTTCTCATTTTCAATTCATGCCCGTTTTCTTTCCCTCCCCTTCTTCTTGCCATAAGAAATCAAGAAGGGATCACCTGATAAGGTCAATGCACCACCTATATCAGGAGACTTCCTCCGATTTAGTACTTTGTTCACTTCATTGCTAAGTAAACTGCCATTAAGTGTCATTAGGTAAACAGTCTTTTAAGGCCTTTAAGGTGCTTTAATTTATTGGTACTAAGAAAAATAAAAGTATGTCCTTTCTCAGAATGAGCCCTGAATATTTTCCTTCTTCAAATTTGTTGTAATACATATTTTCTGAAGGTTATAAACTTCATGGATATGTGCTTCCTTTCCTCACAATTTTTGAGTATTGTGCCTTTATTAGCTTTTTTTTAAATTCTTCTATAGGTTCAATAGAAAGTGGCATCTTGTCAAAAAATCAAGAACAGTCAGATGTGGTACCAGTGGATGAACCCAGGAGGAAAACTCCTTCCCAAGAAGTACACAGTATTTAGATGGTCTTGGTTTAAGTACATTTTCATTTCCTCTGCAAATGCCAGCTTACTTTGCCATCATCTCTAATACAGCAGCCTGATGATTTGCCCAAGTCCAAGATGCATATGACGCGGAGACCACGAGATTATGTCCCTGCCAAGAGGTCTGGTGCATATGCCATATTGATTGCCATGTACAAGACCAGTGCCCAAGATGGATATCCTGGTATAGAACAGATTGTATATTCATGATTATTTATGTCAAAGGAAGTGGAAGATGATACAGATATCAATAGGTTACGTGAAAAAACAAGACTTGGTGAATGCAGCGCAACCATATGCAGACAGATCCTTTACACAGCCTGATGCAGGCTCCTTCTATACAGCTTGGAACTCAATGTCAACATTGACCAAGAAGGGTCTTGTCACAAAAGAAGGTTCTCCTGCTAGGTAAGTTATGAGTATAGACTATTCCCCTGTATTGTGGAGTGTTGCAGCTCATTGTTGTTATGTCTTCAGGTTTTGTCTCAGTGAGAGTGGAGCTGAGTTGGCAGCAAAGCTCATCCATGCTGAGGAACACAGTGATGTGATACCCGGGGGAAAATGCCTTCTACCCACCAAGGATGGGGCCTTATCCTCCAACAGAGTGGAAACTCCAAATGGAGGCACAAAGAATATCCTTGAAATTTCATGCCCATCTTCTTCTACTGCTGCTTCTCCCTTATCCAGTCCCATGAAGGGAGGAAGGACTGTAGAGATGCCAGTTGCTGGCACTGCTCATTTACAAATCCTGTCATCTCAGCCATCCACCCCAAATAATACCCCTAGTCTTGCAGTTGCAGATACATTCACCACAAGTGAGTCTCATGTCTCCATTGATTATTTTTCTGATATTTCATTGATACCAGAGTCAGCCTGGAAGGGCAGCTTTTAACGTTTTAGGGAAGAGAGTGCATCAGCTCAGACTTCCCACTGATTACATGTATGAGCCAAGTGTTTAATGCATTCCACAGGTCAGATTCCTGAGGAACTGAAGTATATCTATGTGAATGAACAAGGTGGAGAAGAAACCCTGAAGGATAGAGCAAAAGTGCTTGTGGATGATGATGGTTTTTTTGGTTTCCTTATTCGATGCAAGGAAGATTCCCTGCTTGAGAGTGGAAAGCGGTTCCGCTTTTATTTGGAAGAGTGAGCTTATGTTTGCATACTCTGTATTGACATCTAGTCTTTCCTTGCATGTGTTATCTATTTTTGTAAGCAATGGAAACTTTTCCTTTATGACATTAGGGTGCCATGCCAATCAGGGCATGTGTTAGTTTACCTGGAAGATGCAGCAGCTGCTGACCAAGCTCCTGGCTTTTCTGGATGGGCACCAAGGAAAGATGTTGATTTGAGAATTTCTCATGCAGTATCTCATTCTACCAGTTCATCTGTGTGTAATCCACCCTCACCTGCATCATCATGTGATACTGATGTCCAGAGTGTCTCATCACTTGTGGCCTTCCTTCCTGGTATTGAAAAAAGCAGACGCTGCTCTCTGTTATCTTTCTCTTATCAAGGTTAGTTTGATCAAATAGCTCTCATTTATGAGGTGCAGTTCCATTAGCTTAATTTCTCTGGGATTCTAAGATGAGGGCATAGATGATTTGCCTGACATTGAGCTGCTGGAAGCCGATGAAGAAGCAACCAATATGACCTCTGATGCACCTTTTCCTGACACTGGTGGTCAGCAATCTGCTTCAGAAGAGAAGGAGAATGAAATGCCATTGTCACTGAGCCAAGCCAGCAGTGGAAGTGATGGACTAGCTCCATCCCTTTGGAGTAGCAGATGGAAGAAGGATGATTGCCTTTCTTCATCTCAGAATAGTTCCTGTAGTTCTTCTGCAGCCAGCAACATTCCAGCCTTTTCCCTCCCTCCTGGTTCCTTTGATGTCATTCTCTGTGTAGACACTGGAGAGGCTCAGACTAAGTATGTGGGTGATATTTTGTTACTTTTAGTTTGAAGACAGTGTTCATGATATGGAAGATCTATATCATTCTGGCAGGAAATTCAAGGAGCTCCAGGGACAACTCTTATCTGGGCTTAGAAAGAACCGTGTACCTTTTGAAGTGCGGAAGCTTCACCTGGGAGACTTTGCTTGGATTTGCCAAGAAAGGCAGGTCCCAATAAGTCTAACACAGCTAAAGCCTCCCCCTGGTCGAGAACTTGTGCTTCCATATGTGGTAGAGCGGAAACGTATGGATGATCTTGCATCAAGCATCAAGGATGGACGATTCCATGAGCAAAAGGTAGATTGGAAATACCTCTTGGCCTTCATGTATTGGAGTGGTGATCATATGAACACTTTCATTTTTCTCCTTTCTGGCTCTCAGCATCGACTTAGGGAATGTGGCCTGCAGCCAATTTATCTGGTTGAAAGCTTTGGCCGTCGAGGTGCTGAGGGATACTGTGGTGGTCTTCCAGAGGCTACCCTAGAGCAAGCAATTTTCAACACACAATTTATTGATGGGTTCATGGTGAAGAGGACATGTGATGCAGATCATACACTCATGTACCTCACTCTCATGACACGATTTCTCACAAAACAGTATCAGGTTGGTGTTACTTGGCTTTAGATCTGCAAAGTGAAGTTTCTAGTCACCTGCAGTTGCTACAAAGAAGACAGATTGCCATCAGTCATAAACTGTTTCATTGAATTTGTCCAGAACATGTTTATTGAAAGCTGTTCAGTGGAAGACCTTCAGCCAATGAGTGGCACCATAATCACCAAACTTCTACCCTTCCAGTCTTTCAATGCCATCAACAGGAAACAGAAAGTGAGCTCCATGCTGACTTCATTGTATTTGATTTTTAAGAGAACTCCCTATGCCAGCATGACATAGCACAGTTGAATGCCTTATTATTTGGTGTGATACAGCATTCTCTGTCTCTCACTTTATTTGTCTCTTCCACATTCCAATTGGGTGTATTTCTGTACAAGGAGTCATCTTCTATTTTCAGAAGTTGAACCTGAGGGACATGTTTGCAAAGCAGCTGATGCAACTGCATGGGATGTCAGCTCACAAGGCCAAAGCAATTGTGGACACCTACCCAACTCCAAAAGCCCTCATTCTGGCCTACAGAGAATGTTCTTCTTCTGTTGAACAAGAGAAGCTTCTGGCAAATCTCAAGTGGGGCCCAAATAACCGAAGGATAGGCCCAGTCTTGTCCAGGGCTTTATGTCAGCTTTATACATGTGTGAGCCTGAGTTGAAGTGTTATGTTTGTCATGTGATTGAGCCAGAACTCATCATAGTGTCATATGTGATGTGATGCTTTGGGAATGTCTTGATATTAGTAGCATTCTGTGATTCCATTGGGGGGTGCCTTCATCATGCATGTGTACTTGATGCAGACATAGCATTGCAGCAAGGAGTGAGGCATGCCCTTTCTCTGGCCATGGTCTGTTTCCATGGGCTACATGCTGTCAAGTTATTGAACCTATAACATACATTTTTACAGCAGAAGCATGACTTATTGCAATCCATTAGACCTGGCATATCATGTGATGGACTGTGGACTCCATTTTCTCACAAAGCAATATGATAACATACCCAAAGCCTGCTTTATTTTGCACAAATTTGTTATATTCATTATCATTGATAAGTGAGAATTCAAGTCCTACCAAACAAAGACAACCCTGAAGTAAGTGGCTTGGCTTGGTTTTGCTTTTAGCCTCATGGCCTCTGCTGATTCTCCCAGTCCCTTATCCTAAAAATAGGACATTCAGGCCCTACTTGTGAATTCTGCAAATAGTTAAATTGACCAATTATCAAAATTTCTATTTCACCTATCTCAATTCAAAGTTTTGCTCTGTGACATTTTGGTAAGTAGAAGGGTGGGTTTAGAAAAATCCACCAGCAAATTTATGAATTTAGATGACATTATCAGCCAATATAAGAAGAAAATACTCTTTAGTATTTTCTTCATGCCTTACTGGATGAAGTATCTTCCAGTTATGCTTCTGATGTAAGATGGCTTCAATAGTGTTACAGTTTGATCTTTATTGGTGGGAATGTTTGCATTTCTTGTCTTCAAGTCACAATGTTTCTTAGTCTCAGATGTGTTTTGTGAGGTGACATGAAGTCAGGGGATGCGGAGGTGTCGCTGGAGGCATTTGATCCTCCTCCTAGTTGTATTGGTGGTTCTACTGCAACTTGTGCATCTCATTCTCATCAGTCGTCTTGTGTCCACAGATTCTTCATCTCAATGGATCACTACACTAGCTCTCCCAATACTTCTTTCTCAGGTTTGGCTCTAGAGTAACAGCAGGAACCTGGTTTACTTTCTTCCTTTTTCATGCTGACTCATTTTTCTTCTTTTTGCAGGGACAAGAGGAAGAAAGGTTGCTGGCTGCTTTACGTCGTCGTACCATCCTCGATGGGAGTGGTGAATATGTGATAGCACAGAATCTTGTTATGCCATCCTCAAAACTTGAGCTTCATGACCTAAGTCTGGTCACCCAGTGTTCTATGGTATACCTGCATTACCTCATTGACTTAGCTAATGCCTGGAAGGGTCCCTTGTCTGTAGCAGTTTTTGCTCAAGGGCATGAGTTTCCCAGGGTCATACAAATGATTGCTAGTCTTCAGCGGTGCTCGCCTGCAATTGCAGCCAATGCCTCATTCCATCTAGTCGCACCTGTATCTGTAGACTTCCAGCAGATTCCTGCCTTATCTGGGCAGTCGATCCCTTGTGCTGATCTCCGTTTGCTTAATGGAAACATAACCAGTTACAACCATCCAGTGCCATATCCAAACAATCTCTTGAGAAATGTGGCCCGCTCATCTGTCAGGGCTCAGTACTTCTTGGTTTTGGACATTGACCTCATGCCCAGTGCTGGATTGCAGGAACAATTTCTTGCCTTTGCCAATAAGAGGGGGCTGTTTGGAGGGAAAGAGAAGACTGTTTATGTTGTTCCTGCATTTGAGGCTGATGATCATGTCCCTCTTCCTGTGACTAATAAGGGAGAGCTTCTAACTTGGTGGAAGCATGGCTTGGTGCGGCCCTTTTATTCAAAGGTGTGCTGGAAGTGCCAGGTATGATACTCAATTCTTTAATACAGTCTCCAGAGTATGAATGGCTTTGTTTTTATGTGTACTTCCAATATACAGGAGCACACAGACTACAAGAATTGGATGCTTGCTGATCATGGTGAAGAATTGGAGCCAGCCTATGAAGTATTCTGGAAAGATCCTTGGGAACCTTTTTATATTGGACACATATCTGTGCCTGATTATGATGAGAGGTTTCGTCAATATGGTTTCAATAGAATCAGCCAGGTGAGACCTATATATGCATGCTCTTCTGCCTTTTATGTTTCAGAAACAACTTTTATTATGAAAAAAAAATTATCCATAGGTGTGTGAGCTGCATGTTGCAGGGTACAGTTTCACTGTCCTCAGCAATGCATTCCTTATTCATCGAGGTTTCAAGCACAGGACATCATTTCATTCCTCCAAAGACGAAGAGCAAGAGCATAATCGAGAATTATATCGGGCATTCAAAAGCTCCCTCAAACTCAAGTACCCAGACTCTTCTCGGCGATGTTACTGATGCATGCTCTTGCATCATCTATCATTCAAAATACTTGGATGATGTGTATACTTGCTTTAGTTTTGAAATCTTGAATGATGCTATGGGAAAATCTGAAGGAGAACTGGTGAAAGTGTCCCAAGAAGCATTTGCATATGCTTTATAAAGAAATAAATACCAGCATTTGTTAAGCTCCATATTCCTAATGGACTATGGCACTAGTTTGAGTGCAAAGAGCACATCTGCTGTCATACTTTCCCTACTAGTGATGATAGAAAGGATATGAACCTTGTCCTTGTATGCCATTAAATGGAATTCATTTCAAATTTTAAAATGCCTGGATATCATGTTCTACTACCCTGGTAGGTTTCTGAGGAGCTGATTCTTTTGCAGCACATCCAGGTTCAAAGACAGAAATAATTTTAAGGATCAGTGAAGAATGGCAGAAAATGCTCGGTTATTTGTCGGGGGAGTTGTGGGTGATGTCAGTGAAGAGGATCTCCATAAGGAGTTTGGCAAGATGGGCAACATCATCGACATACATGTTGGCTCAAGTATGTCTCCCTTGTGTTCATTGTTTTGCTGTTATGATTGTTCTTGTTTTTATTTGTTGATTGCTTTTTATGCAGCCTTCGCCTTCATCCAGTATGAAGACGCTCAAGATGCTGATGATGCAGTTGCAAAGTATGATGGCGCCGAGCTGTTTGGTAACAAAGTCCACGTGACAATTGCCCGCCCAAGAGAGGATCGCTTCCGGGGACGTGGCAGAGGAGGATTCCGTGGCAGGGGAGATTCTGGGGGATTCCGTGGTCGAGGAGGGTTTGGGGACCGTGGAGGCTATCGAGGCCGCAGTGACAGCCGTGGAGGAGGATTCCGGGGTGGTTTCCGTCGCTATGACGACGACAGTGGGGGCTTCCGCCGACGTGACGATCGCTATGACAACCGGGATCGCTTCCAGAGCCGAGGGGGATTTCGAGGCCGGGACGATGACAGAAGGTAAAAATGTTCTGAGGATCACTATCATAGAGGTGTAGGACATGGTCATAGGGTTTTCTCCAGGGGTCGTGGTCGTGGGTTCTCTGAGGGGGGAAGTCGAGGTGGTCGAGGAGGTTTCTCTCGCTTCTCTGATTCATATGATGAAGGTGGCGGATCTCGCTTCTCCAATGGATACAATTCTTCATCTTTTGGGAAAGACAGCAGCAGGAGGTTCAGCCGCAGCAGGTAAGTCCTGAAAAACAATTTTAAAGCCTTCTTTCTCTTCTGTCTATTTCATGTGCACATTCTCAAAGCATGTGACTTCATGGAATGATTAGAACTGACAAGGTAAATGGTAGTTGCAACATGCCCAAGTAATTGATAAGCAAGTGAGAGAAAGACTCCAAGTGATGTGATCTTTCAAGTGAAGGATCAGAAAAAAGACACATTTTATTGAGGAAGGATATAGACACACATGATGACAAGGAATCTGACATGGTCTGGATGGAATATGTCACATGGTCACCTTTCTACAAAAATGACTGGTCTATCTGCTTTGAATGTATGAATGGACTAAAAACCACCATGGCATGATCCATGGCTATCTGACAGGCAGCCATAACAGCCTTCAAGAATGCTACTTACTGGATGATTTGTGCAGCTAGAGGTAATTATTGAAAATACAAGTGTGACCAGCAGAATCAAGATCACCACTTCAGGGTACATATGCAGTGTGCTACTGATATTCAGCTAAGATAACTTGCATCTTATTGCGCTGCTTGGAATACGTGAGGGCCTTGAAGGCCTGGGAAACTACTGACATGAAACCAAGAAACCGCATGATCATGGAAAGGACATGCAAATGCTCTTGAACTTGATGGCATTTACATTGCAAATATGGAATATATTGAACAGTGCCAAATTTGACCATGCATGAACCCCAGTGTGATGAATAGCATTCTTTGTGAACCCTAAGGCAGTATTACTAAGACAGGCCAAAATTTTAAATACGAACAGTAGTCGATGGAGGAGGATTCTTGCATATTGAATATAAGAACAGACATCTCAAAAAAAAAAGAGAAAATGGCCCTCAAAGAAGGAATATTATTGTATGGAAGACACAAGGAAAGGAGACCTAATCTAAAGAATATGAGAGAAGTATTCAAAGTTTGAAAATGTTGATCAACATGCCTCTTGCACAGGCTGGATCAGATGCTCTGCTAACATGTGACTTCTCATACTTGAGTACATTTGAATGGAGAGGTTTGATGAGATGTCATCAGCTTGATGCATTTCCATAGACCAAATCATCACAAAGCAATTTTGTTGACTACTGAAACCACTTAGCTCTATGAAGGACTCGATTGTGCCTATTACAGTGTTGCCAGCTGATGCAGCAATTTGACGAACATGTTAAGGTGTGACAGAGGTTAGCTACGAGGCCAACGAAAGAAATGCATGGACAATTTTTTTCACTTATGTTCCTAGTAAGGGACTTTCTACAAGCTTATACTTCAGGTGCACTTCAGCCACAAATTGCTTACCCTTGTGCCATGTCAGCCAGGCCTGTTATATGATATGCCTCTGGAGTTGTTTCAAGCACAGATGGTCTCTGTTTACAGTTTTGATCATCCACATTTGGCTGCATGGGATATTGTGCAAGGCATACTGATCATGCAAACCAATCTGATGAGCATGCTTCTTGTGGGCTCTCATAGAAAAAACAAAACAAAGGTGGTCTGAGGACCTTGTTTCTTAGCCATGAAGCCTCAAATGGCTCCCTAACCCTGGAAGAAACATTGCTCATTGCAGATATTGAAAACCCCCACTTTTCAAGATAATAATCATGCAGTATTTGCAGCATGTGCTACAACACCACACACTGCTTAGTACTGGACTCACAAGATGATGAATGAAGTTGGCTGGAGTGTACTTTGAGATGACATACTCTGCTATTCACATGGATTTGACTTTTGTTCTCATGCAATAACCTATTGGTGAAATGTGAAGGAATGGATTGTTATACTTTTTGAGTTTTCCAGTTACAGTTGGATTGACAGTTAGGAATTTGAATTTCAGTCATACTCACCACTCATCCACTTTCTCCCCTTTTGTGCCACTCGAAACAATGCCCTAGACTTGAGGGCTGTCATTGCTTTTAGGTCTCCAGTTGAAAGAGGATATCGCACATCTTATGGTGATGACGACGACAAATATCGAAGGTCCCCTGATTATGACAGACCACGTGGATATGGCAGAGGACGAGGAGGAGGTGGTGGCAGTTTTCGCCCAATGAGGTACTTGGGACAGTCCCAATATTGATGCATGCATCCTTCTTGTTAATGATAAATACTTCAAAATGAGAACTGAGAAAGAAAGACTGAGGAATTTCAGTGTTGACTCAACTGAGAGAGCCTGAAAACATATGATGGTGGTTTGCCCATACAGTTCTTCATTTCGGGGGCGTTCATCTGGAGATCAGTACTAAGGAGTCCAGGGACCAAAGTGACTGACTGACTGTATATGCTTCATGTATTCTAGCGCAATCTTTGTTGTATAGACACTCCAATGTGTACATTGCCTCATAATTGTGTGAGGTATCCTGGAATCACTTACTCATCACCATGATGTAGAAAGTTGTGGAAGGCATGGATTTGAACCTTTGGCCTGGACGTGTCATTTCCAATAAAATTCAGTGTCGTGATCAGCTGCGAAGCATGGGTTTATTAAGGGCTACCGAGGGAAATCACGCATTTTGTTTTGATATCTTGGCCAGAGCAGCAGCTCTGCGATCATTATTCTGAAATAGAGCACGTATGAGGCGTTTGACTTCATCTGGAGTGAACCAATCAGCCAGTGGACCTTTTCCTTGAGCCCACCGTTCCACAATGGTGGCCAAATCTGATTCCAGGATCACAAGTGCCTCCTTAAAACGAGGCCACAGAGACACATTCTTGAGTAGGAGACCCTGGGCATTTGCCATGCTTTCTTCTCCCTCCATCTTAGGAAAAGAACCTAATTTTCAGTAACTAAGAGATAAATATGAGGAAGGAGGGAAAGAAAGATCCACCTGGAAAAGCCTGGGACTGTTGTCAATTAACATTAAGAGAATGGCAACAATATGAGTGGATGAGCTGGCTGGTATATCCTCCTGACTCATCACTTGACTCAATACCTCCTCCACCACAGAGTTCAACAATGTCCCTGAAGGGGGGAGAGAGAGTCAGTCATGAAATGCTCATACTCAAAGGTAGGACGAAGGGTGACCTCACCTATGGATGAATGATAGACATTGCATGGCAACACTTCTTGCCAAACATTTCCCAACTTGGACAATAAGTGGAGACACTGTTTCATGCTCTTTTGCACATCTGGCTCAATAGTGGCATCTTGAGTCAGTTGGGTGAATCCTGGTGTATGAAAATGACAATGACCATGAGAGATGGGCCTCCCATTCATTCAATTTGAAACGATAGTCCAATTTTTCTGAGTAAGGGACTGATAAGTGGGTCAATAAACTGTTCCCCCCTCACCTTGTAGGGGTCTCTTTATTTTTGGCTTATGAAATGCTTCATGATTCTACCTCACTGTCCCTTTCTTACAAAAACTAGACTATCATGCCTATTGGCTTAATTGAAAGGAGTCATAGCTTTCAAAACAGACTAAGCACTGAAAACCACTTATAGTGATTGTGATGCCTTTCAACAAGCATCAATGAATCTACAAGAACTGAGGACATCGAGTTGATGGAATTATTGGAATGGGCACAATTTGGAAAATGAGAACACTGTATCTTCAAAGATCTTGCACTCTGATCATATGACAGTATGAACTCAAATGATGGGATGATCTCATTTTGAAAAATCCGAGTTTCATGAGGAATTATCCAAACATCAGCTGTTCATGTGAGATGCTTGAATCTTTGTGATCAGAGGGCAAACTCAAATTAAGAGAGACAAAGCAGTTCCAGAACTTGAAAATCTGTGAACAAGCAGAGGAAACCTGGTAAACCTTGAACTCTTATGAATGAGTCTTATGAGAGGATTGAAATATCTGAAGTTCATATAGCTCCCCCCCCCCCTCTGTCAAATTCACATGCACACTGGGGTTCATGTCACCAAATCAATTTAGCATGGTGATGTATCAAGTTCACTGTTCACTATTTTAAATAGTGCCTCACATCAACGAAGAATAGTACCTCCATGTTGCCGAAGGATGTCAAAAAGCTGCTGCCTCTGAGTTTTCATTTGATTGAGGAATACTTGAGATCCCATTTGCTGCATTACATAAACATAGTCTATGAATGTGACAGCATCTGTTTTTATCTCGTGTGGGACCCGAGATTCATATTCCAGACCAAGGCTCAGGAGACAATGGGCCAAGTACATACAATTGTTGTGACAAATGGCTGTGAAATGATGAAAATATTCACCTGTCAAAAAATGCTTCATACATGAAGTCAGGCATAAATCAACTGAGAGTCTGAACTTACCTGCAATCTGAGGTAAAGTTTCAAGGTGGTCCTTGTGAAACACTGGTGTCACTGCAAGGTAGAGGTCAAAAACTTTGCGAGTTGCATACAGCAGATGTCCAGCATAACGAGGATCCGTTGAATTACTGACTTCATCAAGTATACTTCTGACAAAGTTCATCAGTTCCAGCATGGAGGCACTAAGACCAAATGAGAGAGGTGAGCAGGTGAGTTTCCCCCAAATTTTTAAATGAATCCACTCAATTCAGCCTGCATGACCTGATAATCCTACTCCTAACAGAAGCCTTAGATGACTAGGATTTCTCTCATGCAGCTCTGGTGATGACTGATTTGAACACGTGCAAACTGGTATGCATCCAGTTTCTCCTTTCTACAAACAGCAACTTTTCACCTGGCTTTTAGTCAGGATCTGCCATATTCCATCTTCAACTCCAAGGGGGCATTCACAATAGATTTTCAATTCATCATGTGACGTGGATGTAGTTTAATATTTTCTGTGCCTTTGTGTTCCTTGTACACTACATCCTCAGTGGTGAATGATTGACTGAATAAAGAGATGTTAACACCCCCTGACTGCTCTTCATTCCATCAATAGCTGAGAATATCAGAAGACAGTTCACAGAGTACCTGTACAGGGGGAGAGGCAGGTGTGTGATATTTACTTCAAAATATGACTTTATTTTTGTCCATCAGTTACCCTCCATTCTCACGAAAAGCACAGACCAAGTGTGTAATGAAGCTGCCAGTTGACAGGAAAACTTCCCCTAGTCCTTCAGGACATTGAGCATGGCACATCACTGGTTTCACTCTGTTTCAAATATGTATAAAACCAATTACCACAATTACGAAGGCCTCCATTTTACTTCACAAAGTATATAGCATGTTCTGTACTTATTGCTGGATGTTAGAGCCAAATGGTAAACATTCTGTCTACACATATGTCAAGATGAAAGTACACTTTCTCAAGGTTGGCTTTTACTTCACCACCTTCATGTAACACCTCTTCTGGAAAACCCTGTCAGCTGTTTTCCAACACATTTGCCTGTTCAATCTCCAGTCAAGCAAATTGAAGTTTACATCAAATGTGCTTCCTTATATTGTGGAGCAACTTCCTAAAATTTGTACTTACCCTCCATTTCAAATTGCATTACCTGATTTGACATTCAGGAAAGGCCAAGATGGATGGTTGATCATCTTTTGGTGCAGGTTCCATTTTGACAGTGATATGCAGGTCTTTCTTCATGATGGATCTAGCTTCCTGAAGTATGTCCTGACATCTTTTCTGGGCAAATATAGAATCCACCTTCTGTGCATACTCCTCCAAGGAAGCACCACTCTGAAGGAACCCTGAAATCAGGCAAAGCTTAAAAATTATTAATAGTAATACAAAACCAAAAGAAAAGCTATTGCTCTAAGGAATAAACTTTCAGATGTACAAATACTGACCTAGCTTCTTGAGCGAATCTTGAAAGCTATGCAACACAGCAATGGCTTGCTTATACTCATCTAACTTGTCTGGAGAAGTGGGGATGGCAGGAACAAGGCATTCTTTGATTAAGAGTTCACAGACACTCTTAGCAATCAAAGAACCAAATATCTCCATGGCAGATACTGAATTTTCTCCAATGGATTGGTTGAGCAAGTTATCATGAAGGAAAGTCAGTACTCTTTCAACATTGGAGAAAACATCAGCAATTGGAATATCTGTTGCAGAATTCTTCACCTCTAACTTAGCATCATCCTTCATAGTTATTGTGACAGTAGTGGGCTCCTTCACTACACGTGCGATAATGTCATCTTCCACTTTCTTTGCAAAGAATTTCAGATTGGATTTGAGGACATCTGCCTGATGCATTTCTTGTATGAGTTGTGTCTTATCTTCTAGTGTGAGAGTGAGTTGTACTCTTTCTTTATCACAGTTCCATTGAATCATGTTGCACCAATTTTCTTCCAGTTTATATATAAGTCTGTATTTGAACTCTTCCAAAGTCTCATGTAAGGCACACAGGATCTGCAGTTCATTGCCATAGTTTTCCTGCAGTCGGTCCAATGCAGCTTGAGCTACAAGAAGAAAAGTCACTCCCTGCCCCATAGAATCTCCTGGTTTTGCTAGCTTCTGTAGATTGCCATCAATTATGTTCAAATTTTCCAGAATATCCAGAGAATACTTGATCTCTTCCAGTCTATCACGAATGGTCTTCACCTGCTCACATGAAGCTCGTACTTCCTCTTTCACCTGATGCAAAGAAATGGTGTTGGTTGCATCACTGTTGCTTGCCATCATGACATCTTTAACACATTAACTGCCATATGGGATGCCAGTAGCTTGTATGCTATTGTATTCACTTGGACATAAAAAGGTTGTGGCAGTTAATGTGCTAAAAATAGAAAGGAATATTACATGTACCTCATGTTGCAAGGATGACTCCATTTCATGTACACTCTTGGTGAGAAGTACCATTGATGTCTGAAGCTGTACTGCTTCTGAAACTGTTGGATGGAAATTGACATACTCTTCCCTCAGTTTTTCAGTTAATTTCTTTTGCACTCTCTCAATGACCTCTTCAGCAAGTTTCAGCTTAGTGTCCAAATCTTCTTTTGTTAGTTTCCCTAAAGGAAAAAGAGATTGTTTAATCCATTCACTACAAAATTTATTTATATTGTAAAGTTTGGACTGAAACTCACCAGCAGAAGGGAGAATGTCAGTGACTAAGGACATGATTGTGGGAACCTTTAAGGTAAGTAGGTAAAAACCTGAAAGATTTGAAAGGTAGGGAATATATATTAAATCATTTGGAGTGTGACTTTGCTTATAGGTAGATGGGCAATGTTGTAAAATGCAGAAATACAAATTATGAAAAATACAGACAGAAATAATTTTATTATATCCCTGAGTGAATCACAGACCTGCCTGGAGTTAGAATTTTTTTACACTAAATGTTTAAAGGATCCCAAGAGCAACTTAGTGGAAATTCATCATTGAATGCTTCTGTTCAGCTTTCATAAACCAGTTGTGTATGGGGTTTGTAAATTCAGTTCTGTTTGTCAGGTGGCAGAGTTCCCAATGGACAATGCCTCAAGAAAAATGTACCCTTTATTTTTGATTGCTAGGAGTTTCACTTAGTAATCTAAATAGTTTTTTCATTACTGTCCTGAGTTGGTATAAATTGTCTTAATTTAATTTTTTGGTACTAAGTAAAATGTACTTGAAGCACTGAAATTGAGAAAATTGTAGTACAATGTTATAATTGTACAAGGATGCAGATATTTTATCATTGACATTCATGGCATTGTCATATTCCAAAGTTTAAACCTTACAACACAATACTGACTTGACCTATTGCAATTAAATATTAGGTTTCAATTATAATGCAGCTTAAGTAAAAAAATATAATTAATGATAATCATTAAACAACATGGAGATTTTTCTTCCGTTAATAGTGGATTCATCTATCTTGTTTTTCAGAGATGAAGCAAATATTTGTCACATCTGATTTTTTTTAATTTATTCATTTCTGATGTGGTTTGGTATCCACCTGAAGCCTAACATATCGGATGTACTTAACCCTTTGAGGAGTATGCCTGTAGATATTCGTTTTCAAAATTTCAATTCAGTTTCATGTTGTGTGGAAATGAATTTTTGTGAGTTCATTGCATTTATTTCCCATCACACACAACAATAGACAATTATCTAAGACAATTATCAATTATCTATTATGATCAAATACTTTTAAAGATATATTTCCTTGAGCAACCTCTGTGTTGAGTGTGCAGATAACTCACTCATCAAAGGGTTAAATTCCTCAAGCCATTTCCATGTACTCTGTGCGTTTTCGTTGTCATAGCTTTGCCATCTGTTGTCTGTTTATGATACACTTTGGACCTACCTGCAGAGCATGTTCAGAAATATACAGCAACACTATTCTGGACAGAATGGCTGTTCCAGCTGTGAAACAGGAAATGTCATAATTTAAATATACACTTGTCTCGTGCCAGGGTCTTTAAAAGCTAAGCACATGAGGGGTTAAATGAAGCATCCAAAGAAGCAATATGGGTCAACTATGCTGTATTCCATGGTGCTGGAAGGTATGAGTGTAGGCAGTACTGCTGCTATGAGGAATGCCAGGAAGGAGTAGCTTCAAAGTTAATTAAAGGAAGCCGAACCAACATTTAAACTATTATTTAAAAAGGTCTTTTTCCTCTCATCTAAAGAGCAATATTGATTTTGCTCCAGTGAAAATGGGAAAAAATCTTGGCTGCATCTGTTAAACATTCAGATTGAGTCATAAAAAGGAATGTGCATTCCATGCCTCACTATCTTAAGGTTGTTTCTAACTACAGGGTTCTTGTTAACTCACTATAGCAAGTCCCTGACTCATATTTTCTTGGAGGGACTCATGAAACATCTAAGTCTGTGGGACTCATTGATAACCACCTGAACATGTTCCCACTGAACTGAAGTTAGGCGCCAGGACTCAAGATTTAAAAAAGCTAGTGTGAACCCTGAATTAGGACATACCATGGGTTTTGCATGATCTGTCAATGGGCATGGGATGTGGAATGTTTTCTGCATTGAATCTAGATAGATAGCATTTAGATTTTGTGCTGTCTACAGAGTAGCAATTAAATCACTTTACTTTAACCAATTCGTGCATGAATTTTTAAAGCAAAACAAAAACATGCCATTTACGGTTTAACGTTTAAGGAGGTTCTCTGTGTAGTAGTAAAATGTTCTACTGCTAGAAAGCAACTCTGAACAGATTATGTGCCCTTGAGTTGACTTCACACACCAAAAGTTTCAAGGTATGAGTACCATGGCTGAAAACTCATAATTATCACCAAAAATTTTGCCATCCACTACAGTGGACACCATGCACAAAAGGGTTAAGCCATACCAAATCCATGTACCTCAGGTGCTACAATAGATGTATGAAATGAACATTCAGGCCCCCTCCCACTTCAAGTGTCCAGATTTTTCTATATAAGGGAGAAGTTTCATTGTCACTGGTTTCTATCTTATTAACCCTACTCTTGCTGCATTGATTATGACCTTGTCAGTCTGGTACCTGAAATATTCTGGAACCTGCAGTACTAGGGTTAAGAGTCCCAAGCTAATTAGAAACTTTCTCATAACTCAGCTGGGCACACAACCATCTAGCCTACTTGTGATTAATGCCTTGTTCTTAAAATTTAAAGACACAGGCAGCAAAAAAAACAAGAAGCATTCTAAAAGGCCCCCCAAGGTTATAAGCATTCCAGAAAATATTCATTTTGCAGATAGTTATTTTCATTAACATCAGTAAAATTCCCCAAGCCCTCTCATTTAAACAGGATGAATTGGGAAACCTGTTTACCAAATTCTGAAATGGGATAGGTGCTATCCATTTAAATGTTCTATTTCATTCCTGAACTTCAACCTTCATATATAGTATTTCAAACCTCCTTTCTGCAAGTCATTATAACTTGATTGCGACTGAAGATCTGAACTAGAGGGTTCATACTTTTTAACCCTTTTTTTTTATTGGCATAATGGTGTGGTTGGCCTATCCCAAATTAGAACCTAGTATGTAAGCAAATTTTATCTCACAATGATATCCATATGCACATGAAAAATCAATAGTTTAGGCAACACAAAAAATTTGTATTTGTTTCTGGTTGCATTTGGTGCATTGGCTTTAAACCCACTTAGGCTTTAAAAACTATTGGTCCACAGCACCAATCAATTCATCATCCTAGAAAACCCCTTTCATGACATCTAGCTCAATTTTGAATTAAAAAAAAAAGAAGTCCTATAATGCCTTTTTGTCCTGATTAGGGATTGCATTTTATTTCCTTTGTCTTTTCTGGTGACATACAAACATTCCACTTAAGGGAGTACCTATAAAACAAAGGCAATAAAGCCAGTTGAGGCCTGCTATAGCTACAGGCTATATCCATGGAAAACCCTTCAAATCTAGCTTGCTTGAGGCGATATTTTATGAAACATCCAACCATGGCTTACTAAATGCTTAAGACTCAGTTGAAGTGAATGAAAAAAAGCTAAAATGAGGAGGTGTAATGTTTGGTCCTGACCAAGTTATTTCAAACAACCCAGTAGATGGTTCTGCAAATGCTCAAAGATTAAAATTACACTTTTGGCAGTTGTTTTTCATGTCTTGAGAACGGACAACAAATGCAATGCCTTTGGCACTGAAACTTTTTTTCTTTATAGATGTATTGGCCGAAATGAAATTCTGTGATTCACCAATGAATTGCTTTTCTTTTCTGTGAAATAAATTTGGCCTAGGCATAAAAGAATCAACCTTCTCCTCACACAGAGTACTGTCTTCTGGTGAGGTTCTCTCTTCTTTTAATAGTCTGATATAAAACCAATATCGCGTGTAGATCTGTCGTTAAGCTTCTTGAGCCTGATAGTATCTAGGTCTGGTTGAGCAGCGAAATTTTTACACCATCCTGGCGGTGAGCCTTCTGTTAGGTCGTAATTAAGCATAGGCTTACATTTGCCCTGACAAATATATAGTAGCTACGTCCATCTGATCTCTGGTCTGGAGCCCTTTCGGGTCCAACATGTAACAGGTCAAAGACCAGTGATGGACACACGAACACGTTACTTCCACGCCAGGCTCATCCCCCACGACCTCTGCACTCTGTTTTTCATGTTTGCACCATGAGTTCTATGCGTTGCCTATAGATGACTCTGTCAGATCAGGGACTCGTATCAAGGTCTGTAGATAAACAGTGATTTCCGATTAACTGCATCCCCTCCCGGTGAAGGAAACGGGAAGTACTTAATTCCCACTTCAACCACTGATTTATCCAGGTCGGGTATTTTGAGATGGAAGATGTCACTCGAGTTGATTGACGCCACTCAGAAGAGCTAAGGGGGTGCATTCTATTAAGAGTCACAACAGACAGATCTAAACAGACCTTAGATCTGCAGACCTTGACTCAATTTGTCTGCGGCAAATGTTATCGCACGACTGCTTTGTTTCGTTTCTTGCTTAATTTTCCCAGCTCCGCGTTCTGTTCCAGATGAGTCCTGAAATGCACGTGACGACTGAGGATAGCCTATAGCGCTCTACATTGCTTTCGTGATGAGTTCACACGACCAAATTGCAAACCATTGTTTTCTACGGTCCTTCTGCCGAAATGTTTCCACTGATCTTAGATGTAACGGGAACTGGACTTTTGTAGTCGAAACAGCAATATTGGCAGTGCCCTTTTTTGTTGGTCTTTTTTGCAAATAATTTGTTCATTCTCAAATCACTATATAGGCCATCCCCTGTAATCGTCCTAGTGTGTTTTCCAGTCTCAGACTGATTACTAATTTGAACAAAAATGCCAGAAGATTCGTCTCTTCACGCTCTCCAAAATTTCGTCTTTGGACTTGTATAATTGGACGGATTAAAAATTAAAGTATGAAATTTCCTGACTCCTGAAGGGAACAAATATCACTCGCACCAGCAACTTGAAGCGAATGTGGAACAAATGGCTGAGGAAAAAAAAAAAAAAAACATTCATTTCCCTTTCCAATACATCGGAGCAGGTGAACAAATGAAAACTTCGGCCGTCAAGTTATTATGCAAGTATTATATATGAAAGCCGCTCCACGAGACGTGAAATGCCGCTCGCTTCGGCCAAGTTCGGCCAGATGTCACTGCTGTTCTTCTCACCATCTCAGCTGTTCATTGCTGACTCTTGACATGGCTGAACTTCGCCATCAAGTAGTGCATCCCTTCCGTTCGCACTCATGTGCATCGACAGCGACGACAGCTGAACAAGAAGAGTTGAGGATGGTGTTTCTTTTTCGTCCGTTTGCCTTGTGACGCTTTGCGGGCTGACCATTCACTACCTCATTTCCTTTCTGGAGATGACGACAGATCTGGTCCGAAAAGAGAGATGTTGCTGATGCTGCAGACACAAATCTTGATGCCAGATGCGAGAACTGAAGTGAGAGATCATCCAGGACAAACAGATCAGACTGAAAGAACGGGGCAGGGTGGATTTTCTTCGAGGGTTCAGCGATTGGTCGAAGGTAAATCCTGCCGTCGAGATGATCCTTGCCATTTCTGCCCTCGACTGGGAGTTGCAAGATCGAGTATTATCACTGCACCGACTGTATTTGTGATTTTTGGAACTAACACACATGCGTCCAGCATGATGCCGTGGTGACGGGTATGATCCTTTTATGCATCCAGATAGGTTCCCCAAGTGTTCCCCAACCGATGCCAGACGATAGAATCGCATGATCCGAAAGGAATGCAGAGGCATTCAACGAGGGAAGAGATCCTACACGAGGAGATGGAAAGAGAACGGTCTCTCCAGAGTTCATTCTCTGTGATCCGCACGGAAACGCAAAGTCACTCTCTCTCCCCCGCAAGAGAGACATCTAGTGCGAGCCTCGAGAACCACGAGTGGAAGTTTCCAGGAGGGCGCCGAGATCCCAGCCGGATGCCTCCAGGGCAGCACGCGCTTCGCGATACGTCCAGTCGCGTTCCTTTGCCAGAAGGCGACTCGCGCGGTCCTGCAGCTTCGTGTTGGTCGCCTGGAGACTCACCATCAGGTTGGACTTGACCTTGCCCAGTTGGATCATGGCACCGGTCGTGATGATGTTGAGGCAGATCTTGGTCGCCGTGCCGGCTTTGAGCCTCGTGGAGCCGGTGATCAGTTCGGGTCCGGTCGGGATGTCGATCTCCACGTCGCACTCCGTTCTCCGGACCCGATTCTCGTTGCACGTGATGAGAATCGTCTTGCACCCGATCTCGGTCGCTCGTTCCAGTGCCCCGAAGACGAACGGAGTCCGTCCGCTGGCCGTGATCCCGCAGACGACATCGCCCGGTCCGACCCCCCTGTCGACGACGGCCTCGGCCCCGTCCTCGGGTCGATCCTCGGCCCCCTCCACGCTCCGATACAGAGCCCTTACCCCACCCGCCATGATTCCCTGGACGGTCTCGGGCGGCTCCCCGAAGGTGGGCGGGATCTCGGACGCGTCCAGCATCCCCAGCCTCCCGCTCGTCCCCGCACCGACGTAGAACAGCCGCCCGCCGTTTCTCAGACTCGCGGTGACGATGCGGACGGCCCGGCCGAGGAGATTCGCCGCTCGGGGCAGGGCCTTCCGGATGGAATCCTCCTCCCGGATGAACACCTCCACCAGTTCCTCCGGGGTCATCGTGTCGATGTCGGTGGATCTCGGATTCCGCTGCTCCGTCAGAGCCCGAGCCATTTCCTCCATCTCCATCACCTCCTCCTCCTCCTCGATCGCGACGTCCCTGCCTAGCGCCAGCAGCGCCGCCCCTTCGGCCCCCGCCCGACGACACACCTCCACCACCGCATCGGGACAGACCTTCTTCAACCTCCTCTCGAACTCCCTCACGTACACGGACTGCCGGAGAAAGACGCTCCCCTGCAGGAACACCCTCGGCCTCCCCTCCCCCATCCTCCTCGCCGCCACCCCCACGTAACCGGCAGTCCTCTCCGCCCCCCTCTCCACGATCTCCACCGCCTCCTTCTCCCCCCTCCCCGCCGCCTCGAACACCGCCGGCGCCAACCTCGCCACCTCCTCCTTGCTCGCCCCGACGCTCCACTCCACCACCTCCTTCATCCCGTTGAGACAGAGATCCCTCAGCAGCAGCCGACCCAGTCCGTCCTCGCCCGTGCTCCCGTGCATCTGGTAGTGGTGGAACGCCGCTCGAAGGGCTTCCTGACTCAACCAGAAGGCCGACCCCACGTCTCCTACGGCACCGGCGAGAAGCATCGTCACATCGCATTCTGCACGGGACGTCTTTGCAGTTAAACGTGACTAAGGACGAGAATATATGAGCAAGTTCCGGATTGGAAGTTGTGACGCCTTGCGGTCTTAACCGACGCAGTTGCTGCATCGCGAAGCATCGCCTCTTTGGGATAATTGCTCTGGATCAGCGAAAGCAATATTGCCTTCCTCCGATCTTCATTTGACTGGCACGAACGATTCAAAGATAGACAGATGCTAGGTGAGCCAAGGTCGGGTGGTCCATCGACTTCTGCCGAGAACAAAGTAGGACCTGATCGTCGAAAATGTAAAACTCGTCAGCAACTCTGCGCCGAACTGGCAAATTTGGAAATTCCCACCTGATGTTCCTCATTTGCGGGTTAGATTAAAATAAAGAGAGAAAAAAAAAAGAGTGCTGATTAAATCTACGCGAACTCTTTCTCCATCGCCCTTGAAGGCCTTTTTGCGAGAAAATCTGCAGAGGTTTTTTTTTTTCACGATCGTATCGTCTCGATGAAACGATGACTGTTTCATGCGATTCCAAATCCTCGAGGAAACGTTTGAAACCTTCGAACTCTTATGACCGCTTTCAGCATTTCATCTGCGAGGTTTCCGAATCCACGCCCCCCCCCCCCCCCCCCCCCCCCCCCCCCCCCCCCCCCCCCCCCCCCCCCCCCCCCCCCCCCCCCCCCCCCCCCCCCCCCCCCCCCCCCCCCCCCCCCCCCCCCCCCCCCCCCCCCNACGATTTGCGCTATTAGATTTTTTTTTGGCAAGAATTCTCGCAAGAAAATCGTTCGACGGCCCGATTCGCTGCGTCTCCTTGCGACAAATCACAAAGCACGAAGTTTATTCCATTCCAACTACAAAATCCATGGGATACTCTCTGAATACTGAGTACGGTCTTCACGAGGAACAAGGTCGCGTCGATGGATGAATTTTTCTCCAAGAAAGCAAATTTCCAAAGCCACCAAAGGGGACTAGAACGGAAAGATGAATTTGCTCGATCGGGATCGGGACCCCCAGAAAGGGATGAGGTGAAAGCGGATGAATTGAATGCGGATGAACCGTGGACGGAATTACGGATCACAGTCGGTGAAAGGGGTTGGACCTCCAGAATCACAGCGGTGTCGGGCGGCGTCTACAAAGTTCGGTTCAATCGGCTTAGGGTCCCGAACTTCACTGTCGTGTTGAAATCCTGTTTAAAGGAGAAAGGGTTTCTGCACTCGGTCGTATTCAGCATTTTTTACTTGTTTATGTGAAATGAGTTTCTTTTGAGGGTACTGTGTTTTTTTTTTTTAATGATAAGATCGCCTCACGCTCTTCTTGATGGAGTTGATGGTCTTCTCCAAACCCTTGAGCTGATTGGCGGGGACGAATCTCTTCAAGGTGTTCATGAACTCGGGGTGGTCGCTTAACGTCCGGAAGGTTCTTTTTGCGTGGAATCTGGAAGGAAAACGGGAAACTGGAAGGAAAACGGCGAACGCGAGGAGGAAGAAGTCGGAGTCGACAGGAAACCTGGCTTCGGGGTTGCCGTCGCCGATGAGTCGGACTGTGGACGGGATGATTCGGTCCGTGAGTTCCTTGTTCGTGAGGACTTTGTGGGCGCCGATGGCCTCGACGGAGTTGGCCAGAAGTCGGGACGTGGAGGCGCGGACTTGTGGATTTTTGTGCCTGAGGGGGAAATTTCGTTAATATCGTCGCGGAGTCGTCGTGCGGAGATTCGAGGAGGGAATCGATCCGTACGCGAGTCCTTCGGAGATGAGGACGGTGACGCATTTGATGGGCGTGACGCGATCGACCATGGCGTCCAACGCTTTGTTCGCGTCCCGTTGAATGAATTTATTCGTCTCCCCCGTCTTCTGAAGCATGAGATTCACGATCCTCTCCAGATCCTCCAAGAGAAGAAAAACACGAATCCTCACCCGCCGCCCCTCGAAAACGACCAGGAAAACCCCATCGACGCCACTCACATTCTCCATCGCCCTCTTGAGATACTCGAAGAACTCCCCGAACGCCTGGATGGCCGCTCTCGAAACCTGCGACCTCAGATTCTTCACCTCCTTCATGAGCGCAATGTTCACATTATGAAGATCCCCCAGGAGAACTTGCCCGTGGAACCTCGTCAGACGCACCAGATCCGTGATCCCCTGAACCTTCAACTCCCTGCAAGCATCCACCCCTTGAAACCTCCATTCTGCCCCTCTCCCTCCTCCCTCGCATCCCTCTTACCAATCTTCCATGTTGAGGAGTTCGAGTGCATCCCGCATCCCCTCCTTTGGATCGGCGAAAGGCTCCATTTGTTCCGGGAAGACACATCCATTCTTTTTCAACGTTTCTAATCCTGGGCAGTGGACAAACCCGAGTGACAAAATTGAATATTAAAAGTAACAGTAAAGCACTTCATGCAATGAAGGCTCTTTTCTTGTAGGATTTCTTTTTATTGTTATTTCGTTTTTGCATATATTGTTTTGCAAATTTCTTGAGCTGTTTGAAACTGTGCAGGAACAGGTTTTACTTTCAAACAATGTCTCATTTAATCACGAATCAAAGCCTATAATTGAAAGCCCCAAAACCAGAAAGAAATTCATCTTCCCGATTTATCTATGATTTGATCGCAATTTAAAAAAAATTACAAAAAACGATTTAATTTGGATAGAGAAAAACGAGGAAGCCCTCGCCCGAAATCCTTTTTCCACGTTTCTGCCGTCTTCCTCATCTGTTTCTTTTCTTCTGTGTCTCGATTGTTTCTTCCAACGGGGGTCTGATTTTTTTCAGTCATTACTTGAATCGGAGTTTGGTTCTGGTGGCTCTGAATGTGCAGAATCGGATTGCAGTGCAGCACATATTACATATAACACATATCACATATATGTGGCATATGCGCACAGAGTTCCTAATAGATCTCGATTTCTCTTTGCCTCTTGGTTGGAGGTTGGTTGGTTGGTTGGTTGGTTGGTTGGTTGGTTGGTTGGTTGGTTGGTTGGTTGGTTGGCTGTCGTCTTTCTGTACCCCCCCCCCTCCCCCCCTTCATGTTTTTGGGTTTAACGGGAGTTACATCCTAAAATGTCACATTTCTTCACATATATTTTTTTTTCTTCGAGTTTGAACGGCAGCGAAAGTTGTATGGAAACATACTTGATTTCTCGTTCTGCTCGATTTTAGCAATGCAACCTTTTCTAAACGTGATCCCACCAATCAGAATTAATCTCAATCCGGACGAAATTGAATTACATATCCTCCTAAATCTTTAGTGGCATTTGCACGTGCCAAATCCTATGTGCAATGTATTAATATTATAATATATTATGGGTTTTTATCCCTGGTTCTAAGAAGGATAGGCTTCACGATGAAGTGCTCTTCTTCGAAAGAATGGGTTTGAGGGTTATTTTGCACGAGAAAGGATTGTGCCTTTTGTACTGTGCCAATTTTAGATCAATAGAAAATACAGGGATGTGAAATAAATGTCAGCGATGAATGTTGTTGGCGATGAATTGGACATTTCTGCCTCTACGATTTGCGCTATTAGATTTTTTTTTGGCAAGAATTCTCGCAAGAAAATCGTTCGACGGCCCGATTCGCTGCGTCTCCTTGCGACAAATCACAAAGCACGAAGTTTATTCCATTCCAACTACAAAATCCATGGGATACTCTCTGAATACTGAGTACGGTCTTCACGAGGAACAAGGTCGCGTCGATGGATGAATTTTTCTCCAAGAAAGCAAATTTCCAAAGCCACCAAAGGGGACTAGAACGGAAAGATGAATTTGCTCGATCGGGATCGGGACCCCCAGAAAGGGATGAGGTGAAAGCGGATGAAGTGAATGCGGATGAACCGTGGACGGAATTACGGATCACAGTCGGTGAAAGGGGTTGGACCTCCAGAATCACAGCGGTGTCGGGCGGCGTCTACAAAGTTCGGTTCAATCGGCTTAGGGTCCCGAACTTCACTGTCGTGTTGAAATCCTGTTTAAAGGAGAAAGGGTTTCTGCACTCGGTCGTATTCAGCAATTTTTACTTGTTTATGTGAAATGAGTTTCTTTTGAGGGTACTGTGTTTTTTTTTTTTAATGATAAGATCGCCTCACGCTCTTCTTGATGGAGTTGATGGTCTTCTCCAAACCCTTGAGCTGATTGGCGGGGACGAATCTCTTCAAGGTGTTCATGAACTCGGGGTGGTCGCTTAACGTCCGGAAGGTTCTTTTTGCGTGGAATCTGGAAGGAAAACGGGAAACTGGAAGGAAAACGGCGAACGCGAGGAGGAAGAAGTCGGAGTCGACAGGAAACCTGGCTTCGGGGTTGCCGTCGCCGATGAGTCGGACTGTGGACGGGATGATTCGGTCCGTGAGTTCCTTGTTCGTGAGGACTTTGTGGGCGCCGATGGCCTCGACGGAGTTGGCCAGAAGTCGGGACGTGGAGGCGCGGACTTGTGGATTTTTGTGCCTGAGGGGGAAATTTCGTTAATATCGTCGCGGAGTCGTCGTGCGGAGATTCGAGGAGGGAATCGATCCGTACGCGAGTCCTTCGGAGATGAGGACGGTGACGCATTTGATGGGCGTGACGCGATCGACCATGGCGTCCAACGCTTTGTTCGCGTCCCGTTGAATGAATTTATTCGTCTCCCCCGTCTTCTGAAGCATGAGATTCACGATCCTCTCCAGATCCTCCAAGAGAAGAAAAACACGAATCCTCACCCGCCGCCCCTCGAAAACGACCAGGAAAACCCCATCGACGCCACTCACATTCTCCATCGCCCTCTTGAGATACTCGAAGAACTCCCCGAACGCCTGGATGGCCGCTCTCGAAACCTGCGACCTCAGATTCTTCACCTCCTTCATGAGCGCAATGTTCACATTATGAAGATCCCCCAGGAGAACTTGCCCGTGGAACCTCGTCAGACGCACCAGATCCGTGATCCCCTGAACCTTCAACTCCCTGCAAGCATCCACCCCTTAAAACCTCCATTCTGCCCCTCTCCCTCCTCCCTCGCATCCCTCTTACCAATCTTCCATGTTGAGGAGTTCGAGTGCATCCCGCATCCCCTCCTTTGGATCGGCGAAAGGCTCCATTTGTTCCGGGAAGACACATCCATTCACGGAGGCCCCGCTTCCCAACGATCCTTTCGACCCCGTCGAACTCCTTCCGACACGAAAGAACCCAGGTTACACCTCCTTCAAATCTCTCTGCTACTACCAGATCGGTCGAATCCAAACAACGCGAACCCTTCATCCCGTCCCACTTTCCCTGAAACGGACTCCACCGAACCTCAAAGGCCCATAAGACCCCCAACACGCAGTTACATCCCCTTCACCCCTTTTCCTCTCCATCGAGCGATCGCACCCCCAAGTAAAAAAAACCTCGAAGTCGAAGCAACTCCGCCTCGATCGATGAGCAAGTGCCGACACGTGGCGACTCCAAGAAACGTTAATCGACCATCCCATTTGGCTATCGGTCTCGGAAAATCATAACGTGCATGCATAGCCAACGACCAACAGCGATAAAAAAAAAAGTCACGAAAAGCTTTTGCCAATTTGGGGAGGGCCGGTCTCGATAACATTACCTTTTAGATGGTACGTGCCAATTATTTATTGCATTATTTACTTCTGATTCCCACGGATACCGATAATAAAATCGACTCTTGTGTAATAATTCAAAAGCAGAAAGAACTGGAAAAAGCTAAAAAGAAAATGTAGACATTCTTCGTTCCGTGTCGAAAACGGATGAGGATAAGCCATCTCCCGGATATGGCTTATCCACCCCCCATCGCTTGGACCCGTGTGCCTCTAATAACTTATACGGTAAGGAGACATGTTGCGAGGAGCACCGAACAAACGGTTTGCGATAACGTACCACATTATAAGTATTATAAATATTTAAAGGGAGTAACTTACAGGTGGGAAGTTCGTCTCGAAGCGGGAATGCTTCTCCGGGCTCGCAGAGATGTGGCGTTCGTGCCGGCTCCCGATTTCGTGGAAACTTGGGAGTCCTTCTTCGGGACTTGCGGCGATCGCGAGGGGCTTCTGCCCGCCTGTGCCTTGGACGGCGCTGTTAAATTAATTAAATATATATATATATAATGTTATGATGGTAAATATCGCCACTTTTTTTTGGGGGGGGAAATAAATCGTTCGGCGTTTATTTCTTCGGTGACGTTCCTTGCAGCGGTAACGTGCGGCGAATTTTCTCGATTTTCTGAAATTCCACCGTTCGATCCCGCGAACGGACTAAATAACTCTAGTTCAAAAGTTCTTCCGCGTTCGCAAAACACGCCAGCCGCAAATCGAATTAAATAAATAATAAATATACATATAAATAAATAAATTAATTAATCTTAAATATATATTTAAAGTTTTTAAATTTAAATAAAATTACCAAAAATAATGAGATTTTGACCCACCGAGCGAGTTCCTCCTGGACTCCGGATATTTTGGCTTCTGCTGCTCCAGCTTCCCCATCTCCTCCTCCAGCTCCCGGAACTTCCTCTGCCGCTCCTCGATCATCTTCCNCCTCCTCCAGCTCCCGGAACTTCCTCTGCCGCTCCTCGATCATCTTCCGCCGCTCCTCCACCTTCTTCATCATCTCCTTGCGCTTGTTGAGGAGGGCGATCTTGGTCCGCATCGTTCCGGAGAGGGTGACCTCGTTCTCGTCGTGGTCGCCCTGCATCGCCTGGGGGGGTGGGGCATGCAAATTATTATTTTAAATGGGAAGGAAATTAATGTAAATATATGTAAATAATTATAAATAATTGTAAGTGAATGAGGATGACTGTGAGAAAAAAAAAACTTACCAAGGGAACCTGATGGAAGTCCTCTTCGTTTTCGAATCCGTGAAAATCCACTCTGAAGGGAGAAGGTCCTTTCAGTCGTTGCTCCTCCGACGGTCCTGTGTGCGGAACATTGCATGCTTAACATTGCATGCTTAACATTGATCGTCTCGGAACGCGGAAGAGACTCACTCGAGTGGGGTTGAGAGATGAAGCCGTTTTGGGCGAGCATCATGTGGCCGAGGGAATGGGATCGGGAGCCTTTCGAGAGGGGCACGTTGTCCGCCGAGAGCCTGGAACGGGGCGGGGCGGGGTCAGGTTAAGTACCTGCAGGGTTTGATGGGACCGGGGGGGAAATGCCCGCATTTTCTGGGAAAGGGGTCGTTGCCCGTGCTACATATTTTTATGGGGGTCCCACGACGATAACGGTGAACCGCGTTCGGATTTTCTCCGGTTACCGTGCGGTTTCGGGGGCGGGGATTGAAACGAAATCGAACCTTCTCAGCTTGACGACGGGAGTTGACTCTCGGGACTCTTTCTGCCCCATCTTCTTTGTTCAACTTGACGGCTTTCGACGCTTATATCGATATATCACAAAGCATAAGGCACGTGGAAGCGGACGGAGGCACATTGGCTACTGAGAAAGCGAAGGCACCTAGGGCACCCAACAAACTCTCGCCATGGTAACAAGCAATCAATGAGGTGCCCCTGGTTCGTGCACCACCTTCCACGCCCCTTCGCGCACTTCGGTTCGTATCGACGGATGGACAACGGTCCTCGCCGGTTGATGAAGTGGACTATCGGTTTCTTTCGGGTCGAAAAATATATTATTTAGTCGCTCATGCGTGACGTCGTTTCATGCCTCCAATATAAATGGCGGAATGATGAGAGGAGGGCGCGTTCTTCGCGGCGTTTTTGCGCCTGTCGCGCTTGAATTATTCAGTTTCTCTTCGCGCTGTATTTTTTATGGGGTTTCGGCAAGTTTTCAAGGTTTTCCGAGGGGGCGGGTGCGATGACCTGCGTCGTTATCGTGAGGCTATTAATTGGATTTCCGAACGATCTGCTCGCACTCCGCGGGGGCGGGGGAGGGGGGG